GCCCAGAGAGAAGACGTGGATACGGGTACCAGGGCGAAAGATACCCACGATGTTCCTCTATAAGCAGGAGCTGGCTCTCGCCCATCGCCTTCATGTACACCCAAAATATGAAGTCATCTCCAACCAACCTGACTGGGGAAGGCCAATCAGGTTGGTTGGAGATCCAACCTGACTGGGGAAGGCCTTCGCAATTCATGTCACCTCCAGCTGCGAAACTTCTAGTATGGGATCCCATGGATATCCTACCTGGAGAGACCAGTACTCTCGATCTGAATGACCTCCAACATCGAGCAGCTCCGACAACGTCGCGCCACGGTCTAGCACATCATCTTCACCGCAGTCACCAAGACGCCAGTTGATGGTGGGTACGGGACGTACCTGGAATGGAGAGACCGATATTTTCTTCGTGGGCCCCGGACTAAAGGTGAGCGCTGGCGGTTACATCGAGCAACTCGAGAAGAATATCCTCTCCACATGTCGTCGCCCGTACCTCTGTGGAACTTTAAATACTGCTACAGGATTTGGCGCAGTCGGTGAACCCAACATTAAGAAGCAAAAAAGTGAGACGTTGGGAAAACATTCATTGCCTACTATGAAATGGGCAGCGAAAACTTTGCTGATATGTGACTCGGTCGAAGTGACTTTTTTTTGCCCCCCCCCCCTGTATATAATTTGCTTCGTCTGTTTGTTTGTTTGTCTGTCCGGAAATTCGGTTCTACCAGAAGAACAACTTGGAGAGGTGGGGTCAAGGTCGGGATGGGTAGGCATGTGACAAGATGTAAAGAGCAACTGTAACCCATGCAACCGTAAGCCCACAGTGGGCGGGGCATGCGTTGAAAGTTAGCGGTCTCGCTAAAATTCATAATTCGGCTCCAGAGCAGTCCCGAGATGGGGGAAAAGTGGATTAAGGTTGGCAAAGGGTTGACCCATCAAATGGAGGAGACACACCCGAAATGGGCGGGGCGTACTCGAGATGGGCGGTGCTTCCCACAAATGTCGGTAACTCGGTCCCCGAGAGAGTTTAGAGATTGCAAAAAGTCCATGGCGAAGACAAACATCTGTGGAGGGTCCGCCATATCTGAGGTGTGCTATGACCCGCCCACAGTGGGAGGGGCGTGACCTCAAACGTGAGGTGTTAGTTAAAAAAATCGTAGCTTTGGTCCTACTACAGACGACGCGGAAAAGTGGATTATGGTCCCAAGCGGTCCCCGTTCAGAAGTGCAAGATACACCGTTGTGGGCGGAGCGTGCGCCGAGGTGGGCGGAGCCAGACAAAAAATCTGCAAAACGGTTTCAGAGCGGTCCAGACACCGTCAACATGTAAGCAGAGATGTGCAGGACCTCAACTGTTGGATATATGGCAAGAGTTGAGTGTGTCTGTGGTGTGTTGTAACCCGCTCCCAGTGGGCGGAGCGCACGACGTACTTATTCTTACTGAGTTTTAGCGCGTATTCTGCCATACTCTTAACCACCGGTCGTCATAGGTATTAGATTCCAGTCGGCTCGGCGGCTGATGCCAGCGCTCCTCCTCCTGTGATACGGCCCAAGTTGGCCGGACGGGCACGGCTTCGCCACACATTCCTTCCCCAGCTATTCTCTCGCCTGTGCCCATACGCACTTTAGTACCACTCCATACTCAGTAATAGTCAAAATAGCAGGGATGATGTATTTGTCGAGAAGCTTTAACCATGAGTACAGAACAAAAGCCTGATATCAGTTGAGTCTAGAAATATGTGAAAGAAGGTACGCGCGGCGAAGCCGCGCCCGCCCGGCGCAGCCGGGCCGTATCAGGAAGAGGCGCGCCGGCGTCAGGCGAGCCGACTCGGTTTAGTATGAAAGGATACATTCAAGGAGCTTCACCCTTATGAAGGATGTAAACCGTTTCGCCGTTGTCAACCATTTCATTAAGCATTAACCATGGCTGAAATTACCAACACCAATATAGCAATATTTTTCTACGAGTGGCGTCATAAGACTGAGCAGACGCTGCAGCCCGAAAGGTAACGACGCATTCGGTGAAGGGATGACTGCCAATCGTACCGTACGCGATTGGTATAAACGCTTCGAGGATAGGAGAGACGGACATGGAAGAACGACCTCGTAGTGGACGCCCTTCAGTGGTCGAAGATTTGGCACTGCTTGCTGCCATTAAAGAAGAGCCATGGATTCTAGAAAGCAGGTTCGGGTGCACGCAAACGACGGTTGAAAACCGCCTCCACGTTCTTAGGATGTCAAGAAGTTTCGACGAAATGGATACCTCATCAGTTGACCGACGGCATGAGGATGGCTCACCTGACTATGCTTTAGGTTCTTCTCTTCCATCCGCATCGCAAGGAGTTTCTTAAGGGCTATTACTGGAGATGAGAGTGGCATCCTCTACAATGCCAACACCATCGTGCTGTTTGGCTTTCGTGCAGTGAAGAACCGCCAACGCAGCCGAAGTCCGACCTCCACCCAGAGAAAGTTATGCTCTCGCCTGAGATTCCGAAGGAATGCTTTATTACGAGTCGCTACTGCAGGGCAGTATCCGGGTCCATACTATCAACTCGCGCCTCGGCGACTACGGTGAAGATGATGTCCTAGACCGTAGCGACGTTGTCGGAGCTGCTCGATGTTGGAGGTCTTCCAGATCGAGAGGCTGGCTCCTGGCCGATCAAATTTCGAACAGGAGCCCTTCGAACCATATCACTTCCTCGATAACGTCGAATTTCGAAGCGAAAACAAAATAAACACTATAAATAAGTAGTAAGCAATAAAATCAAAATATCTCCACCATAACGAGCCTTGTTAGCCATAGAAAAACATAATCATAACGTAACATAACATATCATAATATAAGATAACCGCTCCACCTACTGTGGGCGGGTCTCAACACACCACAGACATGCTGAACTCTCCCTGATCTCCAAGCTCACTCAGATGCGAACCACGAAATTTTTCAGCAAGAGCCTGCCCATCTCGAAAGCAGCCCGCCCATTTTTGAGATGTCTCCTCCACTTCGTCCGCTGACCCCTTGTGGACCTCAATCCACCTGTCCCCGGTGCCTATGCTGCTCTGCAACTAATTCGTGAATTTTTGACCTTCGCCCGCTCACAACATCGACACCCACACAGAATGGGCGCGTAAATCTCGCTTCAATAGCGGAGCTCCTGCACATTTTTGCTCGTCTTTGCCGGTGCCTGGAGTCTGTTATGGAACCATTCTATATTTCTGCGTTTGGCTCCGCCGCCTAGCCGCACGCTCCGCCTACAACGGCTGTGTGCCGCATCAAACAGTGATCCCTCCTGACCATCCACTTCCGTGTTTTACAGAACTTTTGTCTGTCTCCGCCCACAACATGTGTGCCTCACATTTCTTACCGGCGACCCTTTGCTGACCTTGGTCCGCTTTTTTCCGGTCTCTGGAGTGCTCTGGAACCGTTTTACAGAACTTCTGTCTGGCTCCGCCCACCTCGGACTGGCCCACAACATGTGTGCCCCACATTTCTCAATCGGCGACGCTTTGCTGACCTTAATCCCCAAGCTACAAATTTTTTTTGAATATGCACCCTATGAATCAGGCAAGCTCCTCCCAGTTGCGGGCCGGTCTCAACACACCTCAGGCATGCCAAACTCTCCCTAGGGTTGCCCTCCTACACCGACTTTTTTGCGATTTCTAAACTCTCTCGGGAACAGATAATGCATTTCTTGGGAGGCACCGCCCATCTCAAGGACGCTCCCCCCATTTTGTGTATTTCTCCCCTAATTGGTTCGAGAACCCCTCGCCAACCTTACTCCATTTTTCCCATCTCTGGGCTGCTTTGAAAGCGAGCTATGAGTTTTTTTCTGCGGCTTGACCAGAGGCCGCAGCTTTCAGGAGCATGTCCGCCACGATGTGGGTGGGGCTTTAGCATGGGTGTTATTTACATCTTGCCCCATGCCCTAACCATATCCTCCTTGACCCCTTCTCTCCAAGTTGTTCTACTCTTAGAACCGAATTTCCGGGCAAACAAACAAACAAACATAACAATAAACGAAAGAAACGAAACGAAACAGACGAAGCAGATTATTATAGTAGTGGACGGATGATTTTCCGCCAGGTGCGGAAAAGTGATAATTCGTAGGTGGCAAATCGG